AAATCAATGCAGAGAAATGAGAACTAAGTACCTGAATGTCAACAAAGGATGTATCCTCAGCAGCCTCCCCGACCGAAGTTGAGACCTATTTAAATGCAATGAAAGGAGATAAGCAATAAGCTTGAGAGGAAAAGCCAAGCAGGTGGTGGTCAGTGAAAATAAATGTTATGACTTAATGACACCAAAGCAAATAGATGAATTAAATATATGCAAAACATGGGTGTGGCAGCAAAGAAATAAAACAACCATTATCAAGCAGTTATTTTAACTCAAGCATACATCTCCCTCATGAATTATTTCATTCACCTTTGAACTTGACTGCCCTTTGGATGAAGTGTTGGCATCAGTTACCGGCACCTGTAAAATTGGAAAACTTACATTTACGAAACTAACTACAGGGCAAATATAAGCAGAATAATTTCACTAAAATCGAGGCTCAAGTACTATGATGCAGAACAACAACAATTCTACTATAGTAAAGCAACCCTGATAATATTAGTCTGCTCGATTAAGACCAAGGTATAACCCTCCTGAGTGAACCAACACATGCTAGTTAATTCACTCTTACAATAAAAATTGTGAGTGAATAAAAATTAAAACTCAAAACACGAAAACTTACGGATAAAATTTTTGATTGCGCCACCTCTACATCAAGACCCCGACCTGTTAGAAAGTTGTAGAAGAAACAGCAGTTTGTTAAACAATAACCTGACATTAAAACACAATATAGAAAGGTGGTAAAAGGTTAACAATGAAAATGACAATGGAGTAAGTCTTCCTTGTAAATTAACAGTGTTCTACTTTCTTGCCAAAATTTTCATATTTCTTTTAGAATGCCAATTTTTGGCCCATTTGCTTTCCAGAATTAGATCATTTTTGGTTTTTAAAGCCACAGTTTGTCATTCTTTGAGAAAAGATGAAAATTTAGAGAGGAATACAGGCCAAAATTTGGAATTAAATGCTCATTATTTTCTCACTATCACACGTTCACATTAATGTCTCACATCTACTAACAATGAAATAGAACTGACAAATATTTCTGAGGATGACACTAAACAACCATGAATAAAAACACTTACTCAGTCGGTCTTGAGCTTTTGTCCCAGCTGCAGGGGAAGTGCTAGGCTTCTTCGGCAGTGGTAGAGGCTGCCTTTGTGGTATTATGGGTGGATACCCAGATTCTGGCTGTGAAGCCTGTAGAGGCTGCCTCTGTGATATTACAGGTGGATGCTTTGATTCTGAACGTGGAGAACTTATAGGCTGCCTCTGTGGGATGATGGGTGGATTGCCATATCTTGGTGGTGGAGCACTTCGTGGGGGACGAGACGTAGCTGGTGGTCTATAAGAGGTTGGGGCAGACGTAGGGCGTCTAAGCATAGGTCGCGGAGGTAACCTAGACCTAGCATACCTTTTACTCTAGAAAATTAAGAATGTATTAGCACTATTGACTAGTTCTGAACAAATACCAATTTACGTTACTACATAAATATGTGAACACTTCACATACCTTTACTGTCCCTGGCTTCTTTCTTTGCCTAGCAATAAGGCTGCTAATATGTGCCGTCTTTTCATCATACCCAGCATTGATACAGTCTTCGCCAAAAGCGTTTCTGGTGTAATAAAATCCACCAAGTGATTGAATCAAAGATTTAAGACTTCTGTGGCCATAATCACTAAATTGAATAGTCCCTATTAATGATCTGTAATCACCTGAGAAAACACAAATCAGAAAAAGAATGAGTTTAAATAAACTAAATATGCCAGGGTGGTAGGTAAATTTCAATGAGTGTTGCTTACTCAGGAACTTCCTTTCAGTCAATTGACCACCCCCAGAAGTTAGGACTGCGCTTATATTAATTTTCAATTCCTCTAAATCTTCTGACATTTTTCATAACACTTGCTCACTGCAAGAAAAAATCTTATTAAGTGACAAGTCAGCATATTCAGAGGAACATATTTGTCTTTTCAGGGGCAGCTAGAGATGGATAGCGATACATTTACACCAGGGACAAAAAATAATACTGATACTGCTACGATAAGAGATCAACGCAGAGACCACCTGGTTTCAAAGGGGACCGCCGTACCCCACCAACTTTCACTTTGATTGCATTAAACAGTAAATTATTCCTGACTACAACATGATCCAGATCAAAGAAACTGAGCATTTAAGAGAGAGGGGGAGGGAGCGGGCACGTGATCAATCAGCACTAGAGTACAATTGTAAACACGAAAATGAATTAAAGGCGGCTCTCCCAGTATTGCCGAAGTAGGTTAGTGAGGTCCCTGCTCCTGCCTCCTCCTGTCAGACGGGGCCACCGCGGCCTCCGCCCGCGGGCCCAGAAACTTACCACAGGTTTCGTCACGATGTACCAGTGGTACAGATGGCACAGTGGTCACTTCAAAAAGTCCGGACACAAAAAATCACAAGGACATAGGGCTGACGAAGCTATGTGGTATGACAGAAACGAGAGGCACAAGGCTGCTCCTACCGCTGCTGCTCGAACTCAACTGATGACGATTCTGTTGGGTCGGGCGGGCGGCGGGCGGGGGCAGGGCGGCAGGGCC